TTAAACTCTTGTGTGTTATTTTTGTTTTATATCAAATGTTATTAAAAATGTTAATCAAAACAGTTTTTGCTCTCTAAGAGTATTTTTAAAGTAGGAAAATGATAATATTTTTTTTCACTCATTAACTCTTTTTATTTCTTACAAGGTGAGAAAGAATTTTACATGTTAAAGGCGTTTTAAAGAAATTTTAATAAAAGAAAATTTAAGTTAACTGTTAAAAGCTTTATAAAATAAAACATAAATATTTCTTGTCTTCAATTTTTATAAAATATTCAATAATGACTTTATTTTAGGCCTTTTTGTAATAATTTTTGTTTACATATATACTTTTTACATATATGAGATTTAGGCAAACAAATTGTGAATTTTATAATCTTTTTTTCCTAAAGAAGAACCTTTAAATTAACTCTAAATTAAGAAAAAGAACAAACACACACACAACTATAAAAGTCTCATCTAAAAATAGTTAAATTTATATAACCACCTTCAGCATTTATGAAGCAAACAATCATCACACAATGAATTTAATTACTTTTTCTTATAAAAAAAATTAGATAAAAATATTTTATTTAATTTTTTTTAAAAAACATGCCTAACATTCTGAAACATACCAAAAACAAAATACTAATTTATACCATTCCAAAAACAAAATAGGTAAAACAATTGTTTTTTTTAAACATTTTTTTTTTCTAAAAAAAATGTTTAAAACTTTTTTTAAAAAACTGTGCAGAATAAAAAAGTTAGCAAATAAAAATTATTAATCTTTTCAGTTCATTTTAATTATTTTCAATACTAAATACTGATAAAATTGTTGCTTACAATCTGATAAAATAGTTTCAGGGTAAAATAATTATTTTTTTTTTAGAGTATGTTACTTTGATTATTTCCTTGCAGAGTATGTAATGCAATATCTGCAAAGTTAGGAGACTATATTACAATATTCTGCATAACTATGGCTTTTTAAAGATAAATGATATAAAAAACCCTCATTAGTACCAGACATTTAGTAAAAACAATTTAGTAAATTCAAAACTAAAATCAAGTCATTATTGCTCAAGACCAATACATTACAAAGTCAAAACCAAGACATCACTAAGTCAAGCCAAGACCAAGAAGAAGACTTTAAAATTTTTACAAGACCAAGATGAAGACCTAAATTCTTAGATGTTCACACAATAAGACTAATGCTCATGCATGTATACTACTAGGTTGTTAGCTAAAGTATAACTACTATTTATACACTATAATAAAACATAATTACACATGTACAATATAACTATATAATATGTAAAATAAAACTATATAATATATATATATATATATATATATATATATATATATATATATATATATATATATATATATATATATATATATATATATATATATATACAAATATATATAATAAATAATATTATTATTTATATATTATATAAATGATATAATATATAAATAATGCATGTATAATCTAATTATGTTATCGCAATTAAAGAAAAAAATATATATTTAATAATAACAAAAAAAAACAGGTTTCTTGTATTGTTAAAAACAAAATATGATATATATATTTTTTTATTTGCATTCACTCCCAGCAAGGCTGCAAGCAACCACTATCAAGTTGGGAGTTACTAGGAAAAAAAAGAGCAGAGTTATAGAGCAAGGAAACGGTTGACAAAAGACTTGAAAAGTTGAAGGTTGTATGAGTCAGGAAAACATGAAGATGAGAGAGAGTTCCAAAGGATTGAAGTGCGAGGAAAAAAACTAGATGAATAAAAGTTTTTAGAGCATGCAGGGACAGATACAGTAAACGAATGAGACTTAGCTGAATGACGAGTAAAACGAGAATGAATTTTAGTTGATGGAACTAGAGATGATAACTCCTTTGAGCAGTGACCATGATAGTATTTGTAGAAAAGAGAAAGAGATGCAACTTTACGACAATGGGAAAGAGGTTCAAGCTAAGCAGATAGTCCAGGTCCAACAACATTTACAATGCGTTTTTGGACCTTGTCAAGAAGAGAAAGTGAATCGTTAGAAGAACCAGCCCAAATATGACAACAGTGTTCCATACAGGGACGAATAAGAGATTTGTAGAGGTAGAGAATGGAATCAGAAGTAAGAAAATGGCGAGCACGATAAAGAGAAGCAACCTTAGCAGAAGCTAATTTAGCAATCGATTGTATATATGGTTTCCATAAAAGGTCAGTAGTAAGCGATAATCCAAGAAGATGTAAAGAGGACGACTCAGTAAGAGGATTGCCATTCATTAATATAGGAATGTTGACCATATTACGGTAGTTGTTTGCAGTAAGCAACTGGGTTTTTTTAGAGTTGAAATTCACAAGCCACTGTGAACCCCAATCTATTACTGAAGTAAGATCGGATTCCAGATCAGCTGCTTGTTCAATAAGATCATATCAATAAGAAAGTGAAAAAATATGCATATTCATTACACTGTGAAACAAACAATAGCACACATATAGAAAACATGATAGACTTTTTTTTTGTAACTATAGTAGCCACATATCATAGTACCAGAGAAAAAAAATTTAAAGTAAAGTTTACACATTAACATATTTTATTTAAGTACTTTATGTAAGAAGTAAAGCAGACAACTTATACACTTAATATAACACATTAACCTTAGTAGTAATAATTTTTTATTAATTACTAATCCATTAACTGTGTAGATATATTATTTTTTAAATCAAGAAAGAACAAGAGAGTACAGTTCCAAGACCATAACTTCAGACTTTCAAGACCAAACCAAAACAGTTAAATATGAGTCTAGAATCAATTCAAGACTGAGACTCTCCAGACCTGGATCTCGAATCTATAGTAACAGGGAAAAGAAAATATAAAGTAAACTTTACACATTTACGTATTTTATTTAAGTACTTTATGTAAGAAGTAAAACAGACAACTTATACACTTAATATAACACATTAATCTTAGTAGTAGTATTTTTTTTTTATTTACTAATCCATTAATTGTGTAGATATTTTTTTTGCAAAGATCGAGAAAGTACAAGAGAGTTAAATTTTTTTTAAACCATTAAACCAGTAAACCATTTTTTTTATTTTTTGTAAGGTTATTTTTGAACTTCAATTTTTCTTTAAAACACAAACGTTGTCTAAAGTCAATGTTGTTTACTATTTATATTGTTGAAAATTTTATACCATAAAAACTGTTTAAAGATTTAAATTCAGCATGTAAAATAAACATTTATACAAATAAAAATTTGGCATAGGTATACTGTGTTTTTTTTACTCAAAAGGTAAAAAAACAAAAAACTTGTTGAAGACGCGTAAGCTGCACTGTAAAATTAGGCCTTTGGTATGCCATAGTAAGCCATAAGTATGCTATTTTAGACAACTTGGTCAAGGCCATTAGCAAGTTATTATATATTAGGGTGTTGCAGAAAAAATAAAATTTTGGTCTCTGAAAGTATTTTCAGTGTAGGTTTACAAAATGTCTATTATTTTAAAAGTGAGAGAAAACTTGCGAAAAAAAAAAGCAATTTAAATAACAAAATTTTTTAAAATTTTGAGTTTGCTGTTTGTTTAAAAGGCATCTTTTTCAAAACAATCTAACTCAAACTTTATTAAGTTCTAGTTATGCAAATCTTTCATAATAAATTCAGTAGCACATATGCATAAATATAAACTTTATTAATGTGCATACTTTTTATTTGCAATAAAGTTTACAATGTTCAAATTATCATAAAATAAATATAATTACAAAGAGATAAAGTTTTATAAAAAAACATTAACCTAGTCATTTGATTTTAAAAAAAAACACTTTTATTACATAAAACATACATCACATAGTGTCACTGTGACATTTTTTCAGACCAGGTGAGAGTTTTAAAGACTTTTTAAAGTAATTTCAATTAAAGAAAAGAATTTAATTTGATTGTTGAAAATCATATAAAAGCGAACTCAACACAAAAATTAATCTTGTGATTGTTCACATTTATAAAATATTTACATGTCTCTAAATCAAAACATTAAAATATGTCAAAACATTGTAAAGTATAATAATAACAGATTCTACAACCATTTTTATAACATTTTATTTATGATAATAAAAAAGACATTTGGTTTACAAAAAAATTATTTTTATTTTTTTTACTATTTTTGCAAACAACTTGAAAATTTTTAAACTACGCTTTGTTTCCTAAAAAAAAAAAACACTTTTTATTAAGAATAAAAATAAAAATAAACATAAAAACTAAAAAAATCTAATCTTAAAATAACTAAAACCACATTGCCACATTCAGCAATAATCAAGAAAACAATGGAGATATAATGAATTTAACTTTTTTTTTGTTAATTTTAGATAAAGAATATTTTTTTGAATTTCTTCAGAAAACATGCCTAACATTCTTAAACATACCATTTATAATGTTTAAAGTAATGTTTTTAATATAATTGAAATAACAATTATTTGTTCTTTGAATTAAATTGCTGTTAAACAATTGTTTTTATAATAAAAAAAATCAACCAAAAAATGGTAAACTATAAAATATCAAAAAATTATAAAAATACCTTATTTGCATTAAAAAAATTACTATTAACAAAAATATCTTATATAATTAAAATATAAGTAAAAATTTTTTTTTTTTGTATCTTATTGAAGACCTAAATGATTATCCTAAAGATGCTCATAATAATACAAGAAAGTTTTAGTTACCCAAAATAGAATCCAAAACTAAAGATTCTTCATTGGATTTTTTTTAAGGATTAAGGTTAACAAGAAACTTCATTAAACTGTTAAAATCATTGATAAACAATTCTTTAGTCTCTCATTGGCCATAATCTCATCACTACTTAAATAATTATATGCATATACAGATGCACAAAACTCCATTATTGTCAAATGTGCAAACTGATAATAACTACCAAGATCTGTTTCAATCTTTTCTATAAATCCGAAATACTTATCTTCATTTTTATCAAAGTCACCAATAAAAGCTTGAATTTCTTCTTTGGAAAATACTATTTTGATGTTCACAAACATTTTATATGCAATTTTACAAATATTTAAAATATATTTTTTATTGGAACTGTCTTCCATTATCTCATATACCAATTTATTGTTTTTAATGATATGATTTCGCACAAAGTACAAAAAAATATTTGCATACAAATCAGTCATTGTTAAGAAAGAATTTAAATCCATTTCTTTCGAATCACTTATAATTTTACACATTGAAGATAAATAAAAAGGAACAGATGCCATGGCTTTTGCAATTGGAGATTCCTTTAAAATTGTTTTTATAACTTTTTTTTTTCTTCGATGACATAATTTTCTATATAATTATTTATTCTGTTTTGATTAAACCCCATTATTTCAACAGTCAACTTATCACTATATTCTGTAGATATGCTTTGGTATTGATCTATTGCATAAACTCTACCAGCAATTACATGACTGAACTTTTGAATTTCTGTTAACACATTAGTAATTGGATAACTAAAAGTTAAACTTTGACTTAATAACTCATTGAAATATTTAAACTCATCTAATCCATCAATTATAAACAGTGCATTATGACTACTTATGTTAAAGTTGTTTACAATATCTTTGTAGAAAACATTTAGTAATTCATTAATATTAGAAATATTTGGATATTGATTAAGTCTCCTGCATTCCAAATAAAAAACAAATTCAATATTTTTTCCAAATTAAACCATTAGACCAATCAAGCAAACATTTTCTAAGCAACCATGTTTTCCCAATACCAGCTATTCCAGATATTAATAATACTGATTTTTCTTTTGTAAATATTTCACTATATTGAATTGGTGTATAACGCATTTGCTTTTCAAGAAATTTCTTTCGTTCAACATTTAAAACAGCATCCTTTGAGCGTTCCACTTGAGCATTCACTGCATCAACAATACATAGATCAACAAATTTTTGATTTAGATCAACATCTACAGATGCTTTTATTAGCGGTTGATGTTCATTAATTTTCCAATAATATTTAAGATAATACTTTTTTAATTCAGCAGACAATCTTGATGAATCTAAATTAGAAAAAAGAAACATGTTGTTAAGCCATTATCACGATTTTGATTTATAAGTCATCCTGTTCATGATGACTTATAAATCAAAATTGATTTATAAATCAATTTTGATTTTTAAATCATCATGTTCAAAATGACATAAATTTTTTAACTCATTTTTTTTTGTACTAATAAATCTGTACAAAAGAAAATGAGTTAAAAAATTTAATCTTTCGGTTTGTGGTTGTCCAGCAAAAACTTGTTCTCATGGCAACATTTAATTATTTTATTGTATAAAAATCCTCAAGAATTATTAAACAAAAAAAAACGAACTAATATCTAAATGTCGCCATGAGAACAAGTTTTTGCTAGACAAAAACTTATAAAAATATAGTTAACATAAAACTTTTGATAAATACAATATTTCTAAATAATTATTGCAAAAATTAAGTTTTATTTATTGAAAATATAAAGTACTTATAAAAAAATGTGCTAGTAGTGTTTGATTCTCACCACGTCTCTGGTAGTACCGCGAAAACTTATTTCTTAGATTGTCAATAAAGATATACTATAGTAAAGATATACTATAGTTATTAGTCCTAACAAGAAAGACTTTTAAATTAAATATTAACTGAATTATAAACCTATAAAGCTAAATTAATATATCTGCAGTTTGTCCTATATTAATTTTTTTTTGTCTTTTCAAAAGTAACAAATCATTAATAATATTTTGTATATATGTGTATAAATTTTAAAAAATTATGTTATAATTTAGAGCACCTGTAGTAGAAACCGAAATGTGCATGATTTGGCTTATTTAATTATAAACCTCAATTATACAGTGTAAGCAGTAAAAGTTTTATTAGTTTTAGAAAAGACAGTGCACCCTATGATAACATTCAATGTCTAAAATATGAAAAATCTAGTTTTTTTTTAGAAAACAAACATCACAAAAACTCCCATTATGTGTTTATTTTTTTAACTTTTTTAACAAAATATGACATATTTATAAAGTTCAACATAATGTATATTGAGTTTATCATATAACTAAAATATTTTTTTTTTTTAAATTTATAAATTTATAATTTTTCTCCTTAATTATTCATATTTAAGTCAGAAAACTAATCGTTACTCCCAACAAGACATGTTTTATTATTTATTTTTTCATATTCCCTATAAAATTCCCCACATAAATAAACTCCTCTTATTTTTTCAGTTTTATAAAAACAGGTAAAAAACAACACATTTTACCAAAACATTATTTGTCTAAAATTTGAAAAAAAAGTTTAGACAGAATTTCTTAAAATTCAACATAACAAATATTGAGTTGATCAAAAATTTTAAAAATTAAAATTTAGATTATAGTTTTTCCCTGTTAATTAGTCACATTTTAGTTATTTTTCCGTTTAAAACAACGCTGATCTACCCATAAATTTTTTTTTTCAGATTTTCCATAAAATTCTTTACCAAAATTAACCAAAAAATAAGTTAGTGAGCTCAATCATGCACAAGTTTAGGCTGTTAGTACTTTAAATTAATACATGTTTTGAAATTTTTATATACACATACAAACTATTATTGATGATTTGTTACTTTAATAGCAGATATATTTCTTTAGCTCTGTAAGCATATTTAATGTATAAATTTTATTTTTATTAGTTAGTAATACTTTTTAGTAAAAAAATAAAATATATCACTTTGATACTGAGGTTTAAAATTTAAGGACCTAAATCTTGCACAATTTAGTTTTGGCTATCAGTACTTTAAATTATTTTATTATTGTTTCAAAATTTTCACAACAATATATACCACAACAACAACAACAACAACAACAACAACAACAACAACAACAACAAGATATTTATTTTCCTTTTCAAAATTTACATATAATCATATGATAGCAACAACAATAATAGGCTGGTTCTCAGGTTTCTCAAAGTTTGTGGTAGCTTTAAGAGACTCTGTTTCCATCATTGGTAGAAAAAAACAGAGACATTGCCTAGTTGCCAATAGGCAGTGTTTGTATTTGTAGTATGCTTTGCTTAGGCCACATTTAGAGACCTTTTCTACTACTAAGGGTTTATTAATAGTAATAAGGCAATTGGTTGAAGTATGAAATAGTGCTTGAGTACTATCTGTGCAATGACTCAAACTCTTTAACTAATTTTAAAATGATTTCAGTACCAAAAACTATAAAATAAAAAAACCATCGTCATCACAAAGTTCTCTAAACATTTTATTCACAAACATCACTCTATAAATCACTAATATTCGTATTCTGCAAAATTTTTTTGTTGAGTCTTTTCTCTAACAAAGTTGAGAAAAGACTCAACATACCTTCTTGCTCCTTGTGAGACAAATTTAAGCTCTCTTTGTTAAATGTTGTTCTTCTTTATCTCCATACTGCACTTTTTTTCTTTTCTATTTTTTAATCAAATTGACCAAGTCAATTATTTTTATTTTTCAGCAAATTTTGTTGTCGTAGGTGACTTTTATTCTCACATCATACTGAATGGCTTGGCTTTAGTGTCAGTGATTCTGAAGATGTTAAGGCTCACACTTTTTGCCTTTCACAATCTCAAACACAAATAGTCAACTTTTCAACCAGACAATCTGAATCATTTACCTTCTTTTTTTTTCAGACAATCTCAATCATTTAATTTCCCTACTCGACTCATGCCTAGTATTTGATCCTAATCCTACTCATTTTCTCCACATTCACCCTTAGGTGCTTTTGCACAGTTTGATTTCTCTAAAACTATTATCTCATTCTTCTTTATCACAAGAATCCCCCTATCATCAAACCTCTTACAACTATCGTAAAGCTAACTGGGACTATCCGATGTAATGTCTTTTTTGGTAGAAATGTTTTATTTTCCTGCTGACAAATGTGCTTTTTATGTAACTTCAAGGTATCAGGCTGTCATGAAACATTTTATTCCCTTGTGTTGATTTTAAGTCAAACCTCTTCTCCATGGTTTTCATCTCATTATACTGATGCAACTTCAATCGTAACTATTACTTCCATGTTTATAGCCAAAACAATTCTCCAGAAATCAGTTGTCTGTTTATTTCAATGGGCACTGCTCTGAAGAGCTAGCAGCTCTAGTGCCTTCAAATAAAATTTATTACCAAATCAGCAGTACATTAATGGGCCAGACCTGGCAAGCCAGGTCCGGCAAAAACATGTGTAATCCAGTTTAGTGTCTTAGCTGGCGCACCAGAACTGGCTAGCCATTGTCGGACCATAAGCGTATCTTTAATACGAAGGTACAAAAATGGATTGCGCAAAATGTTTTTAATGTAGATACAAATTTTACGAAGAGAAAAATGTTTTTTTTAATCCAAGTATATAATTTTTGTTATATCATATTCTGTACATTTAGTAATTTTGGTTTTAGTAATAAGCTATTAAACTAAATGAAAAAAAATTTGAGAAGAAGTTAAAATTATTATATTTTAACTTTTATTTATATATTTTTCTAAAATCAATCAAAGGGAAATTGTTATTGATGGAGCCTACTAACTATGATTAGATAGGTAAAACTGGGTTTTATTTTCCTCAGCCTATTGACTAAAAAAAATATGGGGTGAACACTTCAGATAATGAACCTTCCAACACCACTTCTCTGGATAATAACCTCAATATTTATTTTTATCAAATTGATAATGAAATCAGTGAAATTAAAGTTTCATCTGATAACAATTCAGATAAAAGTGATAAGAATAATGTAATAAATGAACTAGAGGGTGATTTAGCAATTCAATCTTCTCAGCATATTATCACACATAAAGTATACATTTATTAACTTTATTAGTGTTTAACCTTAAAATTGTTTTTACTGAATGTTGTAATGAATATGTAATGGTTTTATTTTGTATTTCATGTATACTTTCTAATGTATACTTTAAGGTGTTTATAATATACCATAAGAATTTCTATTGCATTGCAGTAGGAGCATTTGGTACGCATACAGTATGTGTGTACACCTACAATTAAAAGTTTATGATTAGTGCAGTTGAATTATCAAAGGATTATCACAAACTTATTGATAAGCTTGTTTGTAGAAGGGCTAACAAGAATTGTATTATACATGGTTGCCCTTTGTGTCCAGAAATTTTTTTTCAAGACATTATCTTGAAAATGAGTTCCACCTTTAAGAAGATATTGACAAAGATGATGATTATTGTATAGATCACAAACAGCAGGAGACAACAGACGGATCTGCTAGTAAGTCTAACAGAAACGACAAGTAGCTTTATTAACACTTTGAAAAATAAGTTACAAAAACTTACTGTTCATTCTTACATTGCAAAAATTCAAGCTGCTTCTTTAAAAACGTTAAAAAATTAATTAAGTAGTATTGAGGTTTTTGTCCCTTGTGATTTCTCAGAAAATTATGAGTTTGTTGTCCAAGACAAAAAACAAAGTTTTCACTAAAAAAAATTCAAGCAACATTGCATCCAACAGTAATTTATTATAAAGAAAATAATGTCCTCAAATGTAATTGAATATGTTTCGTCTCAGATGATTTACCTGTAGATATGGTTTATCATGTGACGAAGCCAACAATATAACATATTAAAAGCAATATATCTCATCAAATAAAGACTGTACATTACTTTTCAGATGGATGTGCTGGCCAGAACTGCAAACACTTCATAATTATATGCCACCATGAACAAGATTTTGCTATGAAATGTACATGGTCTTTCTTTGCAACAAATCACGGTAAATTTAGTTTTAGTTTAATTTAAATTTTAGTTTCGTATAAATTTAAAAATAATTCTGTTTGTTTGAATCAATAACATTTAGAAGAATTTTAAAAAAGTCATCAACACATATTCACTGAAATATTTAAAATCAACACTATACCATAGTTTTTGAACTAAACTGAAGTCTGAATTTTACAAATTATTTTGGCATCTTTTTTAATTCTGTATTTTTTTCTGTTCTGATTCACTCCCAAAAATTTTGCAAGCAACTACTGTTAAGGTAAGATTAACTTATACAAATAAATACTTAATATTAATGTAGATAAGTAAAAAAACAGGACAGAGGATAGATACATGAAGAGCAATAGCCTGAGCTATTTTATGTCCCATTTTATGTCCTCCGTTTAATGCTCAATAAAATCATTTAGATCAAAAACTGTATAGCCTAACAATAAGTTATTTGATTCAAAATAGTATGTTAAAAATTTGTTGATCAAAGACTCAAAGATATTGAAATATAATATATATTAGAAAAATTTATTTAAGCTAACTTTTATAATTATCTTTCTTGGCAGAAAAACTAGAAAATTGTTCTGGTAAATCTGAAGTCTCTAAATAATATTATAAGAGTTTTCTGCAAATTTATTTCTTTTAAAAAACTTTTACATTAAATATACTTATTAAGCTAAATAATTATATATGTAGTTTGTCCTATATACTTTTTATTTTCTTTTTAAAGTACCAAATCATTATTAACAGCTTATATATAGTTGTATAAATTTTAAAACATTAAATTATAATTTAAAGTACAAACCAAATTTACAAATGATCTAGTTCTTAAAATTATAAACCTCGACAACAGAGAGGCATATATTTTTATTTTGTTATTAAATAGAAGCTAAAAGAGCTACTTCAGATGTAAAGTTGTCAGGAAGTATAGGTAAATAAGTAACAAAACATGATAGAGAATAAATATATTGAGAGCAATAGCCCTAACCTAGCTGCCCTCCATTTAATGCTCAACAAAATTGTTAGTATTTAAAATAAGTAATCTTGTAAAAGGTTTTTAAAAAGGCATGAAAAAAAGATTTTATAAATTTATCATAAAAATACATTCCTACTAAAAAAAATTTACTTATTTTATTTACACAAAATGTGTTTGCTTTAAACAATTATTATAACAAATTTTTATTTTATTTAAAACCTTTGCATAACATAAAAATGTTAAAAGATCAATGGTTAATTGTTATTCATAACTAATGATTTTTTAATGCATTTAAAATTATTAATATGGTCATTTACAAAGTGCGATCGCACACAATTTCTGTCCATGTTTACATGATCTCTTTTGTAAACTTTAATAACACAGGGTGAGCACTCAAAGTTCTATGTTTTTTAAGAATAAAAATATTTTTATACAAAATAAACTAACACTAATACATTGTGAACTTTATGAGTTCATTGATTCAGAATCATTGATCAAAAAATCAAACCATAGCAGAAAAAAAAAAAAACTGACATGGACAACGTACTTGAAGCCTGGAACTAAGTAACAAGAATTTAAAAACTTTAGCATAAAAATAAAAATTTTTTATGTATATTTTATTTAAAAAAGACATGTGAAAAGCAATTTTTCAGTTAATTGTACAAAACCAGCAAAAAAAGTTTAACTTCTTTTTGGCAAATATCTAATTTAGTTATTATTCATGTACAATGAAAAATTGGTCAATCTAATTTTATTTAAATCTCAAACACAAAACACATTTAATAAATTAAAGCTTTATACAAAATACTTTTAAAAAAAGTATTTTAACACATAATACTTTTATTAAAATAGTTTATGGTTTTAAACCAAAGAGCAATAAAAATAATTTGTCAATTTAATTTCTTTCTTATTTTTTCATTATTAAAAAAAATAAAAATTCTCCTATTGAATACTTCAAAAACTTCTTCATTAACAAAGAAAATTTCATGTCTTTTTTATACCTATGTTCTTTTGAAAGGGATGTCTAAATAAACGTAAATTTCATAAGTGCTAACTTGCATATATACACACTAGTGGAGGTGCCAACTTGCATAAGTGGGAACTGGTATAATTTCGAAGCAGTTAGAAAATTGGCACAAGTGCGAACTTGCGTAAGTGTTCCAAAGGAAATTTGTGCCAAAGGAAGTGCCAAACATCAGCATAAGTGCAAAATGGCATAAGTGCTAACTAGCATGACTACAAACAGTTACAAAAATGGGCATCAATGCAAATTAGCAATAATGGGAACTGGCATAAGTGCGTTGTAAGAATTTGCAAACATTCGACGTGGCCCAAACGGAAGCTTAAGTGCAAAGCAGTTGCAAAATCTGGCATTAGTGTGAACTAGTATAAAGGCGCACTGGCATAATTGAGCCAAAAAAATTTGTTAACGTTGGTATAAGTGTGAACTGACATAAGTGCGTATTGGAATAAGTGCAAAATGCCAATACCTACTTATGCTAATACTTGCAATTTTTGTAACGGTTTTGCACTTAAGCCAGTTCGCACTGCCACCAATGTTTGCAAATGCTTTTGGCACATTTATGCCAAGTTGCATTGATACCAGTTTGCAATTATGCCAGTTTTAGCAATTGCTTTGCACTTATGCTAGTTTGCAATAATGCTAATATTTACAAATTCTTGTGGCATACTTATGGCTATTCACATTTATGACAGTTTGCAACTATGCTAGTTTTTGCAACTTTTTATTTTGTTAGTAATTATTAAGAGAGATAAGTTAAAGCAGCAAAGTTTCCATTTGATTCATAAAATTCAAAAGCCAACAAATACTCATGTTATAAACTATATAATCAAACGGACATGTTTTAAATTTTTTCAGAACTGAAATCAAAACATGTATCATTTTTCATTATGTTTTGACATTGATAAGACAGCAGCAAACCTAATATTAATCCACTAAGTTTAAGGCTTAAAAAAGAAACTTTTTAGACATTCCGACGTCAAATATTACAAAAAAAAAAAAAAAAAAAAATCAAAGTTTGATGTTGTCATAGGCACCAAGATAGAATGTTTCTAACCAATAAAAAAAAAATAGAATTAGAAATAAATATAGCTAAAACAACGAAAAACAATTTTTTGAAGCAAGCCTCAGATTTAATAAAACTTAAAATACTCTTAATCAATTGAACAATTCATTTTGAATTAACGATTGTTGTGAGGTAAGATAAAGCACCATTTACAGTTGTTCAATTTCTACCAATTTTATTATAATTTAATGATATGAATTCCAAAGATTACTCTTTTATTTGAAAAATTTTTAGTTACTTTTTATTTTATTTTTTATTTTTAAATAATTATTTTAGCAGTAGGCAATTAAAAAAATAAAAGTCAATAAAAAAGATTTCAGTCTTGAACAATGTTCTTGAACAAAGTCAAAAATCTGTGTTCAATCTTTATCATCACTCAGTGTTTTAGAGTTAAAAAATACAGAAAGTACATATAAAATAAATATAAAATAATAGTCAAGTCTGCTATCAAATTGAGATAATTGTCGACATGATATATTTGATTATGATCTATGCCTTTTTTCTTATTAAAACATAATAAATGTCAGAGAAAAGTTTTTCTAATCAAGGTTTGTGTTGTTTAAGTCAAAAAATCTGATAAACATGCTGCTCCGTAATTGCACTCACTTTTTAAACTTTTTTGACTTCATGTGTGCTAAATCAATTCTAAATATTAAAGCATAAGGGAGTGAAATTTTCTCAATTTTCTTTCTTTAATGAGATCACTATTGAAAAACAGGTATAAGTTTTTTGTTTTACTTTTGAGGAGGGAAGAAAGGAGGAGGGGCAAAGCGGGTATAGGAGGAAGAGTATTTCACTAGTAATATAATAAGTTAAATTATTTGACGATTTTAATTACTTTTATTGGTCATTCAGTTTTGTTTTTTTTAAGATTTTGCATACTTTTGCTTGCAAAATGTTCACCTGATGCTTTGCAAAACATTATTATTTTAGGAACAATTAAACAATTCAAATTCCAGGTCAAGTCTGGTTTAAGATTATCATAATCACCCTGCCATTGGTAACATGTAACCAAGTTACTGTTCCATGCTCCATATTTTGGGAGGATTTGATTTTCTAGGCAAAAGCTAAGAGACTTAGCTTCGACTTAAAAATTCCCTTGGGGTTCTTGGCTAAACAAAGACTAAAAATAATGTTTTGATAAAAATACTTATCAAATAAACAAGTATTATTTATTATAATTATCTAAGTTTCTTCA